GCTCCATCCTCACCTTTGATTGAGGATCTCCATGACTGCCTGTCACAGCTGCTGCCTGCCCCTTGTTCCCACCACTCCCAGGTTCCTTCTCAGCTCCACACTTTTGTGCACAGCCTATCACCTCCTATCACACTATGAAATTTCTTACCTGCTCTCCCTCCTAGAGCACAGCCCCCACAAAACCAAAGACCTTTTCTTGTTCAGTTGCTCATGCATCAAGGCAGCTGAGGAGTGTGCCTAGCATACAGTGGACACTCATTAAATGTTTGCCAGGTGGATGGAAGGAAGAATGAATCTTATCACTGCAGAGAGCCCTCAAAGTGTACCCAGCATTGGGTACCACTAGCTACCTCATTCTGGTCCACTACATTGGAGATGGGCATGGGGTGGGATAGGCGGTGGCATGGCACTGTTCCAGTGGGGAACAGTGAAGAGAAGAGGGAAGATCCCTTGAGCTCCCAGCCTTGCTCTACTGCTCACTGACCAAGGGACGCTGGACAAGTCTCCCAACCTCTCTGAGCTTTCGTCTCCAGTTCTATAAAATGGGAATTCACCTCTCAGGGCTATGTGAGAATATGTGAGATTGGGCCTGGAAAACACTGGGCATTTGCTAGGCAAATGGTAAATAACCACCAACCACCATAACTTTATAGCTTTAGTTTAGAGTCTACAAGTAAAAGTACAGACAGTAACAACCCTGGGCCGCTCACAAGGAAGGCACTGGGGGAACACACCAGGAAGGCACTGGGGGGAGGAAAAGGCTTCTTTGCAAGTTTGGTGGCAGGAATTCTCCCAGAGAGAGGGAGAGCTCAGTGTTTGTTCAGTGAGAGAGGTGGAGGTCTGAGGAGGAAAGTGCTGGTGGCTCTACCACCAAAGGGGGCCTGGATCTTTGCTCCACACCCTAGATGTGGACCCAGTGAGTATCCAGTTACCCTGCTAGAGAAGACTCTCTTCTTTCACCTCTGTGAAGGAACTCTGGGCCTCAGATGCTGGCCTTCCAGGCAGGCCTAGATACTCTCATTGACTTACGTCTCCTCGAGCCACCCCAACCCTGCTCTTGGCCTTCATCCATTTCTTCCACATCCTCCTAGAAGGCCACGCTGGCTATTTCTGACCCAGGGAGACACACTTCCTGCCTGTAGGATGCAGAGGGTGTGGGGGGTAGGCTAGAGGGCCTGGGAAGTGTCAGCCTTGAGTCTTTGAAGAACCTTTTACTTTTCAGAGACCTCTGCTCCCTCCTCCCTATCTTGCCTTGGCAAGGTGCCCAAGGAAGGCAGGCACAGCGGGCTGAGAATGTGCCCAGGAGGCTAGTGGGAAGGAGGGGGCTGCAGTCACCTCTGGCTTGGACTCGATTCTCCAGTGGTTCAAGGGATGTGAAGCAGTCTCACTGATGGCAAGGCCTGGTCTGGGCCATGCGGACATGCTGAGCAGTCAGAATCTTTAGCAGAGTGGGTGGATGGAGCACAAAGTCCAGTCCCCCTTCTATTTTCTGTGTACTTTTGCTGGAGCCCCCAGGTCAATGCCAGAACCACCTCCCATCCATTTGCTGTTTCATATCTGATAAAGAAGTTTTCCATCAGATTCCTGCTCATCCCAAGAATCAGGACAGAAACTATCCTGTGGCCCTATAGACTGAAAGAAGAAGTGGGAAATCTTACCCCAGACACCATGCTGACATCAGCAGAGGAGTCCTAGATCTGTACTGTTCCCTTTCAGCCTCAGGCCTTACATACAGCCACAGAGGGACTTCAAGCTGGGCTGGTTTCACTCTCCCTGCCTGAGCCCTGCTCCCAGCCTCCTCTGGCAGCACACATGACTGAGGTGGCAGGGCTGTTGGAGGGGCCAGGAGAGGTTAGCTACAAGTCTGTTTAAAAAGCATCAATGACATGACCCAGCATCAGTGTGAGCAGATGTGCTCAGGTCTTGGGGCCACAAGGCTGACACAGAGCTTATGGGAATCTGGGTCGGCAGAGCGATGAACTGGCTTTTCTTGGAGCAAGTGTCACAAGGGACGCCTCTGGTGCCAAAAGACCTGCCTTTGAGAGACAGGATGGGGACCAAGGGGGGACTGCAGGTTCTGAAAGTGAGGTTGTGGCCCTCATTCTGAGGCTAGTTCTGAAAACATGAAGAAACTGGAGCTTGTCCAAAGGAAGCCAACAGGGTGGGAAAACAAGGTGTAGGGAAAATTGAACCTACAAAAGTATAGGATTAAAGGATGCAGAGGGAAAACAGATGTAGTAGGGAGGGCCTGTGAGCCTTAGTAGACATCCTGAGACAAGAGTTTAATTCGGCAGAAGGAGGATGCTCTGAAGGCAGAGAAGCTGGGGAAGAAGGGGCTCGTGGGTAGGTTGAGTTCTTCCCTCCTGAGATGCTAAGAAGAGTCCAATGGCCCCACATCTGAGTACAGAGGCCGTTTTTCCTGCAGATGAGAGAGGACTGACATTCAGGTCTCTAACACAGGGATTCCAGTGCCTTTCTGAACCTTGTCTGGGGTCACTCCTTGTTCAGCCCTCAGAGCCTGCACCTGTGGCTGTGCTGTGGACCCAGAGGAGCACTGGTCTCACCTCCATTTTGTTCTGCCATCTTTCTGCTATTGGGGCAGGGAGTGACTGCTCTTCTCAGGGCAGAATCTGGGGTGTAGGGTGCAGGAGGGACCCTGATCTATTCACTTGGATGTTTCTGAAATAGTTTGTGTGATCTGCTGGGCTGTTTCCCACACAGCTGAATTGTCCCACCCTGACACACATACCTGCACCCACCCTGTCCCTCTGCCTTCAGCTTCTCAAATTCCTTTCTTCAACTGCTTCTCAAAGCCCCCTTCTAAGGGAGCTCCAGCTCTTACTTTATAGACTAACACACACAGAGAAAGAACCATATAAAATACATGTGTAACTCAACATTTAAAAAAGTAAATGCCTAGGTCACCAGTACCAGATCAAGAGACAGCCACTCACAGCACACCAGAAGCCCCCTTCTTATCTCCTGCCAATCACCTTCTCACTCTCTTTTCCCCAGAGGGAACCACCATCCTGACATAAGCACCTTGGTTTTATTTTGCCTGTTTAGGAATTTTTTATAAATAAAATTATGCTGTATTCTTTTGTCTAACATTGTATTTAAGACTTACTCTTTTTTTGTTTTGAGACAGTGTGTCTATATGTAGCTCAGAATGCCCTCAGACTCACCATCCTCCTTCATCAGCCTCTCAAATACCAGGATTACAGGCATGTACCACTATGCTTGGTGTTGTGAGATTTATTATTCTTGAGAATAACTTTAATTTGTTCTCATTGCTGTATAGTATTTCTTTCCATGAATGTACCACAAGTTATTTATCCATTCTTCTTCTGTTTGGATTGTTTCCTGCTTGCAGCTTTTACACAAGGTGTTTCAGGAAACATTCAAGTGCATGTCTTTGGTGCACACACTCCTGCTACATAGCAGCCTAGGCATAGAGTTGTTGAATCACAGGAAATGTATGTTCAGCTGTGGCAGATATTGCCAGTTTCCTGGGTAGTTGTGAGAACTGTTTTTGTGCTCTTTTGAGATGTCTGTGGTTACCCTGGGGATGGTTGTGACCGACTCAAGATGATTTCAGTACAGAAGAGGTTCACCATCTCCCTCTCCCACAGTGCACTGCCTGCTGTGGAGAAGGCACAGGACAAAGAGTGCCAAGCTTGTTGGCTGCACTGAAGGAGTGCGGGTGGCATTTGGGGTGGGTGGTGGAAAAGGCTCCCTGGAGGAAATAGGGAGCAAGAGCTAGACTTAGAAACATGGCTATAGCTTAGCCTGCTCCAGAAGCATGGAGGACCCCAGGTTCAGGGCGAGCTTGTTCACAATTCAGGAGCCCTGACATAATTAATGCAGAAAACGGCAAGGAGTTTGGCACAGCTGTAGCAAAAGGATTGGAGCTGGGGAGGAGTCAGAGATGAGGCTAGAGAAAAATGCAAAGCCTGGCCACGAAGGCCTTCCATGCTGCACTGAGTCACTTGGTCCTTGTCCTCCAGGCCCAAAGTGCACTTAGAAAGATTTCTCTTCCTTAGGAGGCTGATGCAGTTGCCCAGGTGAGAAATGTTGGTGGTCCAAACTACAGCAATTGTGATAGGAGAGGGACAAGGGGACTGTCATAAAACCGGAGGGAGGTTTTATGACATAAAACTGTCATAAAACCCTACAAACTACGACTGTCATAAAACCCTACAAACAACTGGCAGGATATCAAGGAGAAGGGTGAATAAATGGACATGTCCAGGTTCTCCACACAAATATCTGGTCACAGCCAAGATAGGAGACAGGGAGTAGATTCTGGGGGAAAAGGTGAGTTTGTGTGTACTCAGGGGCCCACTCCTCAGGACCACGCCCACCCAGAAATTCCACTTGCTTAGGAGGCAAGTCCAGCTGAGCATAACTCTGATGGTAGCATAGATGGTCAGACACCCCTGGCCAAGGGCCCCAACCCCTTGTAGGAGCAAGGAGCTCCCTACAAACAAAAACAAGGTGGGGGGGGGGGTTATTTTGGTCCTGTAGGGCTGCTTTGAGGAACAGAACATCACTTCCTTCAAGGGACTTTGGAACAAAACTGAGTATTCATGACTACAGAACATTCTGGAACATCAATAGCATTGCAGGAACATGCATTTCCAAGGCTCAGGGAGCCTGATGGCCTAAAAGACATATATCCAAGAGCCTGGCTTTTGTGCACAGGTCCAGCTGGGGAGCGTGTGCACAAATGCAGGCTGATCACTGGCTGGCCCAGCCTCGAGCAGAGCAGCTATAGGAGCAAACCAGTATGCCGTAGCCAACCCAGGTAGACAGAAGTCGGGGCAGGGAGGTCTCTGCCCTGACAAAGAAGTAGGGCACTGTGAGGAAACTAAGGCACGTGTTCAGTCTTCACAGGGGGACCAGCACAGGAGAGCTTGAGGGGCCAAGCCACACCAGCCCCTGGACTCTCTGTGTCTGTCTCAGTTGCTTCTCTGACTTCACTTCTGCCTGGCTCCTAGGGAGGCCCCATCCAGAACCGCAAGTCCAAGCGCTGCTTGGAGCTGCAGGAGAACAGCGACATGGAGTTTGGCTTCCAGCTGGTGCTGCAGAAGTGCTCGGGCCAGCACTGGAGCATCACTAATGTCCTGCGGAGCCTGGCATCCTGACCCACAGAGCTGCTGCCAGCCACCCCTTTGCTACTGTGTAGCACCTGCTGCAACTGTTGCCTGCTGTCCACGTGGGGTTGTTTGGAGTCTGGGGGAGCCAGGTTAGGGGGCCCTCCAAAGAGCTTTTTATTTCCTATTCAATTTTCATGGAGTTTATAGAAAGATGCTGAATGGTGGGTGAAGGTATATCCTAAACTATTTTGCAACTGTAAATAGGGGATAAGTGGAAAATATTTATAACTGACAATAAAATACAATTGATTAAGAAAAGGGATTTTGTGCTCATCTGGGGCCCCATGGAGACTAATGCCCAGCTCCTCTGAACTTGGAATTCTTATAGCCAAAGGCATGTCCTCGGTTGCCGTTCCTACTTCAAGTCCCTGAGAAAGGAGGCTTTAAAATCCCTGCAAACAGTGGGGCTTTTTATGCAAGTTGCCAGCTTGCTTTGTGAGGCCCAAATGCAGGGGGCAGGGCACAAGGCCTTCAGGCTCCAACCCAGAAGGAAGGTCCTTCCCTGCTCTTTCCATGCCTGCTCCTGGCAGGGGCAACTTTCTCCCAGAAGACAGCCTCAGCTCTCCCTCCCTGGAGAAACCACCATTGCTTATCTGCCACTGGAGCATCATCTGCTGGACTTCAGGCTATACTGCCCTCTCCTGAGGTCACCAAGTCACCTCTTTACCTCCCCATGCTGTCCACTGCCAAGGGCCTCAGCACTGACACTTGCCTATGTCCACTTGATAACGTCACTTTGATGCCTCCCATGAGTCACGGTATATTAGTTTCCTGAGGCTGCTCTAACACAATATCCCACACCAGGTGGCTTAAAATGACAGAAAAATATTATTTCACTGTTCTGGAGGCTAGGAGTCCAAAATCAAGGTATTGGTTCCTTCCGAGGGCTGAAAGAAATCTGTTCCATGCCTCTTTTCCAGCTCCTGGTGGCCTCAGGCCACCAGCATATAGATGTCCTTCTGCTCTGTATCTTCACATTGCCTACCCTCTGTAGGCCAAACTTCCCATCTGTAAAGGACACTAGAACTCTATTGATGGGGAACAATTTCACCTTATTATTTCCATAAAGATTCTATTTCCAAATTAGGTCAGATTCTGGGATTCTTAGGGTCAAAACTTTAATATGTCTTAGAGGGTCACAATGCCACACATAATACATGGCTCACTCAGTATGGCTCCAAATTACTGCCTTCACCATGCTCTTGAAGCTCAGTCTCCCATATCCTCTTCCCCACACTTCTCTACTTTACTAAATGGTACCCAATCCCACATTCATTCCAACTGGCATTTACCTCGAGCTGCAACCATTGCATATTTCCAAACTCACCCTGTCCTGGTCTCTAACCACCTAAACTCTCTCCACTGTAAACCACCAATCTGTGTTCTTCATAATCACCCATGTGCAATGCCCTATGCCACAGTTCCCAAAGTCTGGTGCCCAAACAGCAGCATGGCGTCCCCTGCAGATTTCTGGAATTAGATGCTACCTATAGTCTAACAAGCTCTGCAGGTGATTAGGACTCTCCACTGAAAGTGGAGAGTCCCTGCCCAGAACCAATGTAGGCCAGGCCACGGTGGTCCTCCTTTCTGTGCTTGCCAGGCCTCCCTCTTCAACAGCACCCCTTCATCTGGCTCTGCCTATTTGCAACAGCCTCTACTGCCCACCAGCAACCCACAGTGCCCTTCAAACATCCACACTCACACCTTCACTATTTGCACTGCATTCCTAGTGCACAGAAGGACAGAGTGTGGGCTGTGGAGCTCCACAAACAGGTTCAAATCCAGGCCCCGCCCCTTACTAACTGTGTGATCTTGGGCAGCTATTTGATCTCTGTATATCAGTACCTTCCCTTAAAAAATAGGGATACTAATAGAATATCTTTTATGGGGTAGTTGTGAAAACTAAATGACTAGATTTATGTAAAACACATAGAACCCTGATGGGTACATAAAAAGTACTAGAAGTCCTAGCTATTATTTCACCCATTGACATCCTGGCATCCAGTGCTCTCTCCAATATTCACACCTCTATATTGATTTACACACACAGTTCTCCTTGCCTATTTCACCCCACCTGTGCTAATACCCACTTGTGACTGTCCCACCTGCCTGGAAGGACTTGCTCTTACATTTTGCTGCCTACACCTACACCACCAAAAACTCCCAACATTCTTGCCCTGTTATCAAATCCATCAGCTTACTCCTGACAACACTCTGAGGAGCAAATCCAAAACCCAAGAACAGAACCCAGTCCCTAAGCTAAGCTGGGGGAAGTGGAAACGGAACAGGGTACCAGTTTCCTCCTGTGATACTGGCTCACCCTTTCCCTGAGCCCAGGTGCCCTGAAGCAAGGAGCAACCCTAAGAGAGTCCTCTTATTCTTTGCCAAATGGGCATGGGAACCATGTGGCTGGTCCAGCATAAGATAAGAGCAGAGGGACATGGGCAGAAGCAGGATGTCAGACTACAAAGGATGGAAGAGGCTTAGGAAGCCTCAGCCCATTTTCAGCCTCGCCCCATCCCAGCCTCAGCTGGCTGCTACAGCAAACTAATTAGCAGCTGTTTGGGGGTTTTCTTAACACCCTGGAGTGAAATCATTATTTTTCTTAATGATTTTGCACATTAAACAACTTTGTTTACTGCTTCCACTTCCTCTCCTGGTACTAGAAGAAGCTGTGTTAGCCTATCCCATAAGACCTCCTGGACTGCCAGTCCTCTGACTGGTTCACAGCCTAGCTCCATAACTCAGTCCCCTGTCTCACCCATCCCCTGCACCTGGACCCATCAGTTATAAGTAATGAGGGAGAAGACAGCCCTTTGCTCCCCATTGGAAGGGATACAATTGTTGCAGCAACAACAGCAGAAGTTGTCAGTGCCCTGGCCATATCCTAGCCAGTGCTGAAGGTCACTTGCCAGCAGCCACATGCCTGCAGGTCTTCCAACTGCCTGCATCTCTTTCCACAACCCTTCTCTTCAGAGGTACTTGCTATCCCTGTGTATAGGAAGACCTGAAGTGCCAGGCCTACTTACACTGCAGGGGAACAAATGTGGGGCCTGATGCCCAGTCTTTCAAGGGGCCCTGTAGTTACTCTAGGACACCCTTCACCTTCCCTCCCTTCTCTGCCTCATCTCCCCTACTCCCACTCTATGCTTGCCCTATAACTTCCCAAATGCTATTTCTGGTCTACAACCCATTCCTACTCCTCCTGTGCCATTGTCCTCATTCACAGCACACCTGCACATCAGTGATCCCCAAATCTGTGCCCACACCTGGACCTCTCTTCTGAGCTCCAGACCTGAGCTCCTGCTGTTGACAGGAGTGTAGCCCCTGAGACGATGTCGACCTGAGGTGCTAGAAGTGGACCTGTCACTCCCCCACTCCAGCCTGGGTCCATCCCAGTGACCAGCACTTGCAGGTGACAGAACCACAGACTCTTCATCCCCTAGCCCCTCCTGCTGTCACTCAGCAGGTCAGGGCTGCCTTCTAAACAGCTCTGGGACCTTCTCTGAGCCCCTTCATCACCCATGCAGAGTGAATCTCTCACCATATGTCTTCCACACTGTGATCCTCACAGGGTTTTTTGTGAAACACAAATTCATTCAGACTCATTCCTTTCCTAAGACTTTCAATGGCTCTCATCACAGATTTTAAACATTCAGCTCAAATACCAGCCTCAAAGCTTCTTCCCTTGGTGAGTGCAGAGACCAAGTATGAAAGCATTCAGACCCGGGCACAGGTGGACTGTGGGAACAAAGACCTGGCTCCCTGGCAGCCATGCTTACTGGGCATCTGCAACCCTACCCTACCACTCTAGGGGTGCTAGTGACCCCTGTGCTTTGTCCTTTCTCAGGAAGCTTTTTTGGGGGGACATATATTAGTTTTCTAGAGCTCCTATAGTCTGGGTGACTCAATCAACAGAAATTCATTGTCGCATAGTTCTGGAGGCCAAGAGTCCAAGATGGAAGTGTGGGTTGATGTCTTCTGAGGGCTGTGAGGACAGGCCTGTTGCTGGCCTCTCTCCTTGGCTTGTAAATGGCAACTTTTTCCTAGGTGTCTTCACTTTGTCTTTCTTCTGTGCGTATCTCTGTTTCCAAACCTCTTCTTATAAGGTCACCAGTCGTAATCGATTAACAGCCACCTTCACAAATTTGAGCTCACATTTACTTCCTTACCTCTGTAAAGACACTGTTTCCAAATAAGGTCATATTCTGAAGCTCTTGGAGTTAGATTGTCAATGTATACACTTTGGAGTGATGCAATTCAAGCCATAACAGGGAGGCAGGGGAGGGGTGTTGAAGAGCAGACAGAGGCCCCAGGAGACTACATTCATGCCCCCCTCTCAGGAAAGTCCTGCCTTTTTGGAGGGGCAGCTCCATTGTCCTGGCCTCCTCATGGATTAGGGTGGCCATTACGCAGTTGACAGGGAATTTTTGCATAGGTAGCTGAGACATCCATCATTGTCTTCTGCATCCACATCCTTTTAAGGAAAACTGTACCAGTTTAGCCCAGTTATGACCCTACCATGGTCTCTTCCCTCCATACCTGCTTCTACCTGACCCAAGACATTGGCCAGTGGCCAATGACTCAGTACAAAAAAATGTGGTAGGGCAATCAAATTCTGCCTGAAATTTTCCACCATGGCACCTGTAATTTGTCATGGAAGCTAGTTATTGAAGAAGGCCACAGCCATGCATGGAGACATACATGGGGTCGAGCCAAAGGCCCAGTGGATCAAGCAAGCCTGACCCTTTGCCTGCTGAGACTGTGAAGTGGAAACCACAACTGAGCAGAGAGAGAAAGGAACTGATCAGCAGAGGGAGCAGCCAGCAGCCAGGCCCTTGAGTGACCTGGGTTTCCTCCTGACCCCAATCCATACACATCCCGATCTTCTTCACCTGGAGCTGACTGAGCATCAACCTGCTCTTTACAGCAAGCAAGACTGATGAAAGAAGGATGTGAAGAATGAAGACTCAGAGCCACAGACCCTCAACTGTGTGTGTGAAGGTGCTCATAGTCCCTACAGCTGCAGTGCACACATGGAACAAAAGTGCACACGTTTGCATTGTCTGTGTACACACGTATGCACGGCTTACATGGCCTCTCACAAACATGTGCACACACATGCAATATGTCAAAACACACAGACATACATGTTCATACACATAGACTAACACATACACACACACACACACACCAAACAGAAGAGGGATTTCTGTTCCCTTATCCCCAGATCTGCACTGGTGTACACCCATAATCCAGCTA